TAAAATGTCAAAAGTAGGTCATTGTGACCTACATTTTGGTCGACATTTTTCAAAGACCCAAGATGCATCTACTTACCAAGTTTGATGATCGTAGATCTGAAGGTAATCAATATATGCATTTTAAACAATTTGAAAACAAATGTCTGCAAAATTCAAAAAATAGGTCACAGTGACCTACTTTTTCATATATATGTTTTAAAGTCCGAAGATGCATCAAGATTTGATGATTCTAAACCTCCCAGAGTCTGACATAATGAGATTTAATGTTTTTAAAAGGATAAGTCATAAAGTTCAAAAAGTACGTCATGGTGACCTACTTTTATGTTGACATTGTTCGAGGACCAAGATGCATCAACTGCGCAATACAGTTAAGATGCACAATAGAAATATCGACTAAATTTTGTATTTAAAAATGTATTCGTTATCGGGATGGCGATTATTTTTAGTACATTATTTATATCGGATAATTGTAATTATGATTAATAACTACATATCGAGGACGATTATATTTTATATTTAGACTAGTCACGTGATGCGGCAGTCACGCGATTTTAGTACACTGACTTGCAGTATTGATGTTACATATAAATATCAATAGTGCAAGGGCATAACCAAGTTGAATTTCCAAGTTTAGTATATAAATATTTTCAACACGCATTGTAGTTTCTAAAAAGTGCTGCGAGCCTGTCTAAATTCTGCAGTTTTATTGTTAAAATTATATTTTTATGACCGAAAGCTATATTTTTTGCTGGCCAGCGGCATGAATTATTGATATAATTAAACTGTTGTCAAGATTTCATCAGGATCGCAGCACTTTTCAGATACCTTAATAGTTAAAGAGTTGAAATGTAAAAGCTTTCTTTGATCCATAGAGTGTATGCCCTTGCACTAGATCGATTTATTAAGACCCCCCCCCCCCCCACGTTACCCTCTGATGTACTTCCATACAAATATACGGCAGTGTCAACTAAATACGTAATGTACATAAAATATATTAATAAAATAGTGAAGACATTAAATTCAAGTTATTGGCCCATAGAATAACTGTAAATAATATTTTATTTAATTAAAGAATACATATTTTGTTGAGAAAATATCGCTTGATCTGTCTCTCACTGCATACAAACTACGTGACGTTGTAAGAAATGACGTCATATTGACAAGTGTATTGCGATCAGTGATCTGTTTATAACTTGTTATGTGGGATCTAACAAACGACAAAACATCACGCTTTAGTAAGTTTTTATGTAGTTAAGTGATTTCTTACTGGTTAAATCAGCAGATAAACTCATTTTGTGGTATTTTAAAGAAATGTTGTATGACGTATATGTGTATGATGTCATTGTCAAGTTTTCCCGTAAAATTAGGCTCCGACTCCTTTTTGTAACCTTAACTGTGCTGCGTGACAAAGTTTGATGATCGTAGGCCTTAAAGTGTCCAAAATATGTCTTCAAATCAATTTGAAAACAAATCCCCGCAAAATTTAAAAAGTAGGTCACCGTGATCTACTTTTGAATTAACATGATGTGAAGTTGTAAGATGCATCAACTTACAAGATTTGATGATCCTAGTCCTTATAGTAAGCAAAATATACACGATTTATTAATTATAAATTAAGGTCAACTTTGAAGTGACCTTGAGACCACGCCCTTCGCCCAAGGGTAATTCCCCGTGCAAATATTAATCTTCGACATGTCCTGATCCTTGTATGTAAGTTTGGTCAAATCTGCCTGGTGGTTATGGAGAAGAAGATATTTTTTAGCAACCAGTACTTTTGGTTTTGTAGGAGATCAAAGTTGAGGGCTTTTACGGACATAAATACATTACGATGTATCGTTTTTCTGACCCTGACTTTAGCTATATTGAATATACTGTGTTAAATTATAAAGCATTAATTTAACTTTGATTGGCATATTTTTGATAGTCTTATTAAATTTCTAACCAATAACACATAATTTATTTATTTACCAAAGATTGACCATGGACTCATTATTAGCTCTTGATATGCATGTTTGGCATGTGTACATTGGTTAACAAAGAAGTCTATGTGTGTGTCAAGCGAGGAAGGGCAGAGATAAGGTGGAGTGTTTACTTAGTATGTTTATCATTGTATTACTGTGGATATGCAGAAACAATCTATTTTATTATTAGATGGAGAGGGAAAGAGAGAGAGAAGTGTTGCAACCACTATTGAAATAACGACCACTATTGAAATAATTATATCATAGTGGTTGAGAGTGCATTTCAATAGCAATCATAGTCAGTAACCACTATTGAAATAAAACCACTATTGAAATTATTATATCAATAGTGGTTGAGAGTGTGTTTCAATAACAAACATAGTTAGTAACCACTATTGAAATATGACCACTATTAAAATAATTATATCAATAGTGGATGAGAGTACATTAAAATAGCAAACATAGTTAGTTACCTTTATTGAAACATGACCACTATTGAAATAATTATATCAATAGTGGTTGAGAGTGCATTTCAATATCAAATATAGTTAATAAACACTATTGAAATACGACCACTATTGAAATACTTTTTAGCTCACCTTGACGAAACTATACCCCCGGCGTCGGCGTCGGCGTTAGCGTCGGCGTCCCAGGTTAAAGTTTTAGGAGCAAGTCCATTCCCAAGTAACTATAAGCCGTACCTGAACCAAACTTGCATGGATGATGCATCTAGGGATGTACACTACCAGACTTGCTTCGGTTGCTGGATCTGACCTACATTTTCTAGATGAGTGACCAAGTTAAAGTTTTTGGAGCAGGTTTAAGTTTTTGGAGCAAGTCCATTCCCAAGGAACTGTAAGCCCTACTGGGACCAAATTTGCATGGATGATGCATCTAGGGATGTACACTACCAGACTTGCTTCGGATACTGGATTTGACCTACATTTTCTAGATGAGTGACCAGGTTAAAGTTTTTGGAGCAAGTTAAAGTTTTTAGAGCAGGTTCAGTCCCAAGGAATTATAAGCCCTACCTGGACCAAACTTGCATGAATAATGCATATAGGGATTGACACTACCAGACTTGCTTCAGATGCTGGATCTGACCTACATTTTCATTCCCAAGTAACTATAAGCTCTATTTGGACCAAACTTGCATGGATGATGCATCAAGGATGGACACTACCAGACTTGCTTCGGATGCTGGATCTGACCTACATTTTTATTCCCAAGTAACTGTAAGCCCTAGCTAAACCAAGCTTGCATGGATGATGTATCTAGGGATGGACACTACCAGACTTGCTTCGGATGCTGGATCTGACCTACATTTTCATTCCCAAGTAACTATAAGCTCTATTTGGACCAAACTTGCATGGATAATGCATCTAAGGATGGACACTATCAGACCTGCTTCGGATGCTGGATCTGACCTATATTAATTTTCCATACAAGAGACCAGGTTAAAGTTTTGGGAACAGATCTATCCAAATGAACTTGAAGACCTTGATATCTGCAGTATTAACAGTTATGAATATTTGTTTAAACGATACATGTTTTTCACGCTACACGCATAGAAATGTGTATATGCCATGTAAGGGGTTAAACACAACTTGCAAGAATATTGTTGTTGGGATGAATACTTGATATTTAGATAATATGATGTGAGATTTGCATTACTTAAACTGATAACATTTGTCGAGGTGAGCTTCGTAATCTTTACCTATGTTTTCAATAGTGGGTGAGACTGCATTTAAATATAATACTAGTAACCATAGGTTTCAACCACTATTGAAATACCAGCACTACTGAAATAATTATTCAATAGTGGATGAGAGTACATTTCAATTTGGTAACCATAGGTTTTAACCACTATTAAAATACTACCAGTATTGAAAGAAAAGTTTCACCGCGTCCGCAACTCTTGAAATAATCATTTCAATATATTGGATTCATTGTTCAATGTACTATTGAAATCAATAATTTAATCCATATTAAACTCTTTATTTCAAAAGTGAACATTATTTCAATAGTGGTTGCAACCTATTTTGTTATTGAAATGAATCTCACCTACTATTGAAATAATTATTTCAATAGTGGTCGTATGTTGCAACCACTATTGAAATAACGACCACTATTGAAATAATTATATCAATAGTGGTTGAGAGTGCATTTCAATAGCAAACATAGTTAGTAACCACTATTGAAATACGACCACTATTGAAACAATTATATAAATAGTGGTTAAGAGTGCATTTCAATAGCAAACATAGTTAGTAACCACTATTGAAATAATTAAGTCAATAGTCGTTGAAATTGTATTTCAATAACAAACATAGGCAATAACCACTATTGAAATACGACCACTATTGAAATATTTATTTCAATAGTGGGTGAGATTCATTTCAATTACAAACATAGGTTGCAACCACTATTGAGATAATGTTCACTTTTGAAATAAAGATTTCAAGGTGGATTAAATTATGGTTTTAGGTATGAATTATTATCAGCAACTATCATAATACTTATTTAAATCACTTTTGAAATTATAATTTCAATAACTATCTAAATCTTCATTTGACACCACCAAATGACAACGAAGGATGTACGATGACGGACAAAAACAAATAGCAATAGGTCACGAGTGACTTAGGTGACCTAAAAGAAAAGTCACCTCTGTGGTTACTCAAAAGGAGAAAAATCATGCAAATAAAGTGAACTACTGTATCTTGGTCTCAAATAATGTTAGAATACTTTGATTTACTTTTCATCATGTCAAACAGTGCAAATTACAACTGTATATACATGTATATATATTCATGTAGAATGGAAAGTCATTCTATGATCCCACCTCTGACGTTTTGGAGGTCCGTGTTTGCTCTGCTCCTATTTTGAATTGTTTTATGGACTTCTGATGTTGATTGCTGTCTGTTATCTCCATATGTTAAATCTAACCATTCTAACTACACAGTTTTTTGAGAACAAGGTTTTAACATTTAACATTTAACATTTGCTGTCACCAAAACAAAGGACATTTTCAATTTTTCATTTATTCAACTTCATATATTCTGAATAAAGCATGAAATGTTTTGTTTCTTTTCGTCTAACAGATGGACTGTAGGAGATGTCCTTTGTTTTATCAAACATCTGCAGCTCTTTCAATATTTTATTAAAGTTGCAACTTTGGGAAAAGTCTTTCAAAAGTGTATTATTTAATTTTGGGCCAAAAAAGCGGTGATTGAGAACCATCCAAATTTGCAAAATAGCAGACAAGTTGAATCTCACTCCACTTTCATCCCACAATGATGTAGGTCGATGTCCACTACTTAACAATATGTCATTTTCATAATCATACATTACAATGTAATAATAGAGAGGAGTTAAAACCAATGATGGCACCAGTGTAGGACCACACAGCCCTTCTCCATCTGTTAAAGCTACATTTGCTTCACAAAAAGAAAAAGTAATAGCTTGACTGAGTATCTGCTCAGCATATTTCTCAAAGATCAATTTTGCACCTAAATCTTCACATATGTCAGTCGGATAATTCTCCTGGAGGCAATCTTTTGTGAGAATTTCTTCATCCTCTTGCAATTCATCCTCAGGATCATCACCAATAAAGCACAGTGGAACGTATGAAAAGCGTGAAGGAACCAAAACTATATCAGGATGACCGTACCAAATTTCCTCACATCCTAATAAAAGAGAATTTTTTTCTTTATATTAACAAATATGTACCCTGTGGCAATGTCAAGCATACAACCCAAAGGACGGACGCAATACATTTTGATGCTTAATCTGTTGTTCACTCTGAAATATTTTGATGCTTGATCTGTTGATGTTGGTGTCAAAGTAACTAGCTGCAAATCTGTAGCTCACTGGTCTGAAAGAAAAATTGGGATGGAGGACCAAAGAGCTACAGTGCCACCCATTAAAATATTGAGAACTGTCTAAAAAGGACAAATACCCCCGCTGGGTTTTTCAGAGAAGGTGCCAATTCACAAATATATTTTATGGCTCTAAGAGGTGTTCACAATTTTCTTACAAAAATTAACAGTGAAAATATAATTGCTCATTATTCTTATAATGAATGAAACAAAGGTGCAACTAAATAAAACATCAATACTAATATATTGTAATTCCATTGTAACATTTTTATATCATAGATAAAAAAACCTATTCCGTTCACAAAACGTACCGTTCCGTGCACAAAGTGTACCGAACCCTACCGTTCAAGTCGTGTAGTAGCACGGTTTAGGGTCTGAATATCATAATTTTTTTTGTTTAAATACTAAAATACAAGTAAGAACAAAATTTGTTTAAATAAAATTATAATAGTTAATTGTCATTGGATGGAACATTATTAATATGAAAACATTATTTATTTCTGCTTTCCAATTTACTGCACATGTAATATGTATGCTTACCTATTCATAATTATCACAAGCAAGATCGTATTAATGATTTTAATCATAAAACTGAATTTATTAATGTAATCAAATCACAATCCGTGTTCATACAAAATACTGTGCGTAAAAGTACCCCAGATATCATGTCTATAACCATGATAAATAGAAATACATTAACAATGTTACAATTGAATTCTAACAGTAAAAGAAATATATGCCTACTACAAAAAACAAGAGGTCCATGGGCCACATCGCTCACATGAGTAGCTTTGACCATGCTCTTCTTTACCAGATTTCCCCCTAGTAGGGCTGGGTATTGGCCCGAGATTTCGTATTGCGATATATTGCGATATTTGTAACTGTATTGCGATATGTATTGCAATATTTTCAATGTAATTTAAATGGCATTCTCTTACTATATTTACTTTAATATACATGCAGAATGTACATAAGTAACCAACACTGACAAAAAAAATTTTGATTTCATTAAAGTTATGCTCCGAAATGTTCCCACAAAACAACTTCTGTCTTACTGTTTGGCTTAATAACCAACTTTCATAAGTCCATTTTTATATTTTATGACAAAATTCCTTAATCTAAGCTTATTGCCAATATATCGATATTACAAAATCGTATTGCGATACGATATTTGTTGTCATTGTATTGCAATATATTGAAATATCGATATTATTGCCCAGCCCTACCCCCTAGTAATACATATTGTGACCCCAACCTACCCCTTAAGGGGTCATGACTTAGACAGTTTAAAATCTACACTACTCGAGGATGCTTTCACATAAGTTTCAGCTTTTCTGGCCCAGTGGTTCTTGAGAAGATTTTAAAAGATTTTTCCTATTTATTTCTATGTTAAACTTCCATTCCCTTTTGTGGTCCCATCCTAATCCAGGTTCATGATTTGAACATTTTAGAATTTACACTACCCAAAAATGCTTCCACATAGGTTTCAGCTTTCCTGGCCCAGTGGTTCTTAGGAAGATTGTTAAAGATTTTTCCTTCATATTTCTATGTAAAACTTTCATTCCCTATTGTGGCCCTGCCCTACCCCCAGGGGCCATAATTTGCAGAATTTTGAATCTAATCTACATGATCTACACTACCCCAGCATGCTTCCACATAAGTTTCAGCTTTTCTAGTCCAGTGGTTCTTGAAAAGAATATTTTTAAAGATGTTTCCAATTTCTTTCTATGTTAAACTTTGATTTCCTATTGTGGCCCCACCCTACACCCAGGGGTCATGAGTTTTACAATGTAGAATTTTCACTACCCAGGGATCTTTCCACATATAAAGTTTCAGCTTTTCTGATCCAGTAGTTTTTGAGAAGATTTTTTAATGATCCCACCCTATTTTTGTCTTCTTCATAATTATTTCCCCTTGTGTAAGGACTTGGCCCTTCATTTTAACAATTTAAACTCTTTACCCATGAATGCTTTGTACCAAGTTTGGCTAAAATTGGCCCAGTGGTTCTTAAGAAGAAGTCGAAAATGTGAAGTTCACAGACGGCCGGACAGCTAGACAGCTTGGCAGAGGGACACCTAGACAGCTGGACGGATGACAGACAAAATGTGAACTGAAAAGCTCATCACTTCCGCTCATATGGAGACATATCACTTGCCGGTGGAGAGCTGCAAATTTTGTCCTTTACTGGGCACTCAGGGCCTTATACCAAAACCCCTGACCCAGGCGCCATAACATTCACAATTTTAGTATAGTTACAATCATGCCAACAATTTGACTCCTTAATTGATGTCAAGGAGTAAAGAAGAAGATTTTTAAAGATTTCATTAATTTTACTGGTTTTGGCCCCACCCCTCAGAAGTATAACATGTATAATGAAGAACATTAACTATTTGTAATTATATCTCAAAGAAAGACATTGGAAATGTAAATATTCATTGTTTAATGCAGTGCACAAATACTTACCAAGTCCTGTTTGTCCGTAATTTATAAGGGATGCACAATCTAATGGCTTCAGACATGGACATTTGTTTGGTCGTCCTTCGTAGTCATTGCTTATAAGATATCTGTTACCATATACAAGGCGGGATAGAAGATGATTTGTCAATAAAACAGCAACAACAACTTCTGACTGTCTGTCAAATGCATCTCCATATGGATGTCTTTGCTTTAGACACATCTCATGGTGATCTAAATCAATTTAAATAATTATTCATAAATATGTTATAATTTATCTTTTGTACCAGAAAACATGATAAAGCAATTAAGACACAAACTTGGTTTATACCCTTTGATCCCTATAGCTATTAACCATCCCTGCCCCCCTATAAGCCCCCCTCTCTCTCTCCCATCTTGGTCTTATTCAATTGTTGGGAAATAAGGAGCCCCTGTGCTGTTATTAAAATCATCTAAAGTATCAAAATTCCTCCATTTTTTAAGAAAGTACATGTACAAATGAAACTTGGTTATAGGGTAACTCTTACGCATAGTATTACTGAAAGTCAAATATTTTTAGAATGACCTTATCATTATGTATTTCTGAAAGTGAATTTAGTTACCTATAAAATTGGGTTACTGTCGTTTTGCTCCAAAACCAGAACGCCCCATGCATGAGCACCCCAAAGATTTTTACCAGCGCCCAGGTACAAATTTGAGCGCCCCAAATTTTAATCACGAGCGCCCCAAACATAATTCACGATCGTCGCAAATTAGCATTTTGAGCGCCCCAAATAATATTTTCACAGATACTTGTTACGTGATGATTTAATACGTAAGCACATTTAAAAAGTTGAATTTTGTTTGCTGTCCTTCTTCAAAGAACACTCCCTGGTGTAATATTCTCTTAATTATCAACTTTGAATTATTTGTGTTTACAATTAAAAATGATAGTATTAAAGTCTAAGCACCGCCGTAATCCCAAATAACTTTAGTAACAATGTCTGACTTACACCCAACATTTGCAAATGTTTTCCTTTATATAACACTACTGAAAGCAATGCATATCTATAACTGTATAAATACCTGAATACAGGTATGGGGTCAAGAGGTCATAGATGTGCGTATGGATAAATGTTTGACATAATTTCTCAGTGATGTCATAAGGGTTGACGCGCGTTCAGTGGATTACATACATGCCGTTGGGTTTGAAAAATATGTATTTTACGTTAAAAGTCACAATAAGGCAAATATGAAGTATGAATATTATTTTTGTGCGTGTGTTTTTTTATGGACAGTCCCATTTCTCTAAGGTCTATCCTTCTTTAAAATGAGATAGACCCATGGGCTATCTCATTCTCCTAGTTACTGTATACAGGGAAATTTTCGCCCCCGTTTTATTTTCCCCCCTTTCGCCCTCTTCCTGATTGGGCAAATTTAAAATGGTGCGAATTGAAATTACACTGCATAATTTCTTAAACAAAACTATGACTATATGGGCGAATTTAAAATGGGGCAAAATAGTTTGCAAGTCAGGCGCGTAGCTGCCTATACGCAAGTACGCAAGTGCGTACACATCATTTTCAAAAAAAAAAAAAAGAAAAGAAAGAAAGAAAAAAAGAATAAAAAAGAAAGAGAAAGATTTATTCGGAGAAAAAGAGGCCCTATCTGTCTTTCAAATTATTTTACGTCTTATTGTTTCTATTCAAATTTTGTTCAGAATATATCGTTATAATCAAGTCTTTTATAAATTGAATTCCAAAATTCTTGAGTAAGAAAATATTGTTGAATCAAAATTTTCAACTGGAAATCCGCGTAATCCTGATTATCCGGAGAAATGCATGTATTTGATGAAGGAAAGAGATCTAAGTGACATTGATTTAAAGAAAAAGTTACAAGGGTTTTGGACGACTACACAAGAATATCCGTTGAAGTAATGAATAAATACCGATAAACAAAAAAAAAAAAAAAAAAAAAAAAAAAAAAATTCAAATTATTGAACAAAGTAAATATAAATCATTTATGAATATCTTATTTTACTGATGTTACCAGTTTATAGAATTTAACTACTCTCACACTGTTTTAGCTAACAGAATATAAAGGTTATCAAAAGACCCAAACCCCCGTTTATATTTTGAAATACTTTAACGCCAATGATAACTTATTAAATTACTTCTCTGTTTAATCTTGTCACACTTGGAAACTTTTTTTCTAATACCAATATATTCGTAAATTAATTTGATTAAACTATCCTCCTCTTCCTGAAGTATCCATGGAAGTATAACTTAGCTAAGTGTTTGCTTGAGAAAAGAGCTGTAGCGTGATTTCTTTTAAAGAAAAATGACTGAAACATTTCGTAAAATCCAGGAGCTTCCGGATGCTTCGCCCCCTGGCCCCCCACCAGGGCTTCGCCCTGGACCTACTGGGGGCTTCAGGGCGGCCCACAGGCCCCCGACCATTTTCTGCGTACACTTCATTTCAATGCTGGTTACGCGCCTGCAAGTGCAAAAGGGAGAAAATAACACAGGGCGAAATAACCCTGTATACAGTAGTTTCGCACACTGTAGACCTGTAATCGATATACAGCTACAGAATATCCACGTGTAGGGCCTTTACCTTATAGCCTGAACCCCTCTCTTTACCTGTATATATGTACATACATTTATATAAAACAGGGTATTATTTCAACTCGGAATAATTATTTCATTCGGAATTTAAAGAATTAAAAAAAATAAGCTACTAAGTCTCCTTACATGTATTTGTAGCTCAGTAGAAAAAAATGTTGCCTTAGATCTCTGCATATTTTGTGAGTATTTGGGAAAAGATTTTGTTTATAAACTCATTAAATAAGTTATTCTATTTTCTGTTTATTATTTCTTCTTTTCTGTTTATTTGCTTGTTATTTGTTTGTTTATTTATTGTTGTGTTTGTTTGTTTATTTATTGGTGTAAACAAGGTTGCATGTACTGGCAGGGGTTAGATGAATTTTTTACTGGGTTAGTTGGCGCATGCCCAAAGGGGTTAGTCGCCGCCGGGTGTCGACTAACCCCTTTGGGCATGCGCCAGTTGAGTTAGTTAAAAATCCTGTAGTAAATCCATATTCAATGTGTATTCGGTCTGTATTGTTAATCAGTCCACGCAATGTACGTAATAAACGGTAATTAACACGGTAGAAGTGTTATTTACTGTCACGATGCGCTTAAATCCTAAGTATTTCATTCCAAGTATCCATGAATGAAGACTAGACCCGGGTCCCTACACCATGTGCACATGCCGATCTCCCGAAAAATAAATCACGGAGCAAAAGAACGAAAATACATACCAATGCATATTCATCACGATAACTGAAAACATATAGTCGTAAGAACGATTAAATCCAACAAATAGCCAGTGAAACGCGGCGATGTCAACACTTGCCAATGCACTGCAAACAACTCCTGTTCGACGTCATTTTTCAAAGAACGACGTCACAGGTACACTGTTTTCCCGAACTTTCTCTCTGTATCAAAATGGCGTATAGGCATTGTACGTAATATAAGGTATTCTGTCACTAAGGTACATCATTTAAACATTATTTTTTTAGCTGAACGTTTTCCTTTACTTGGACAACCAAATATCACAAGAGGAAATGAAAGTGAAAAGTGTTTAGTACAAAAAACAGGCTTTAAAAATTGCAAGATCCAGGATCCGCGCACTTGTTTCACCTCCGCTAAGAGGTGCAGTTTTAGTGTGCACATCTCAAGTTTTCAATCTATTGTGACGTATCACTCGGGGAAAACCAAATACAGATTGACATGAAAATGACATTAGCTATGCAAGAACATACATAGGCAAGATATTCTACAGCTGTTTGTAAATAAAAAGATTAAATTAACATTTTAAATACTGAGTATTTTATGTTTTAAACGATGATGTAAATTAATATTCTATGCCCAACCTCTCTTGTTTTATTCACAAAATGTCCACCCCCTTTCCCAGAAAATTGTTCCGGCCTTACATCGTAATATATCTAGATCTATATTATAAAAGTATAATTTTAAAAAAAATGTGAAAAATAATCTATACATTTTGAAATTCTTAAATTAAAAAACTCACATTTTTTCTGAGGAAGGGGGGTCGAATAACCAATAAATAATTTTCCAAAGATAGTCTAAATGTTGAATATAAGTAATCTGTCCTTGAGGGACAAGATAATAAATAATCTGTCCCTGACCAGTGCTACCCCCCACCCCCACCCAAAGCGAATTAGAGTTTAAATTTCGATGTTCTATTTTCATGCCTTGATATTTTTTTCTCCTTAGAATAGTAGAATGGTCGTCCCCTAGCTTGCACAAAAATAAAAATCACAAGAAGCATTAAAGTTTCAGTAATACAATTTCTTCATTAATCTTTAAACATCAGACAAGACCTTTTAAAAGTGAAGGAAGGGGGGGGGGGTGAAATATAAAAAAGTAACTTGAACGAAACAGCTTCGATTCTTCGACAAGATTTCATTCTCACTGAATTAATCCACTTCCGGCAGAACATTGGCAGGTTCGATCACAAAGTAATAATGAAAAGCATGATAAGAGTGAAAATTTTTTCCAGAAATTCTTTGACAAGCAAAAAAAAAAAAAGAAAGAAAGAAAGATAAATTGAAAGTTCCCCAAACTCGAAAATCCTATTTCGTGGAAGGGGTGGGGGTGTTATGGCCAAAAAGGGACGATTTAAATACTTGCCTATAGTAAAGGTGATGTTGGGGAAAAATAGCTGTGGCTTTGTTCTTCATTAAAAAAAAAAAAAAAAATCAGGAGAAAATAAAAAAAACAAAATTTTTTTCCACGCGGTGTTCGTGTAGATGGTCACAGGATACACGTTTACTACAACCAGATAACTGCAGTACTGTAAGTCTCCGAATCACAAATTCCCCAAAAGATTCAGTCTCTGTGGTCATTTAAACAACAAAATGCTTTCTATGGTTGTTAGTACGGGGATGAATGCCGCAGCTGTTGCAGAAAAAATAGCGGGTTATATAAATTTTGTAAATAACAACCAAAGAAAGACATTTTATTGTTTATATTTATATTATATCTGTTTAAATAATAATTTAAAGCGGAGTTAGGACATTAAATCTTAACAATTAAGTGATTAGAAAATTTATATATTGGAGGAAAAACGTTCTAATTATATTTAACGATGCGAACGTCTTTGTATGTTTCATTGATGGAACAGCCACTGATCAAGAAATCTGTACAGGTGACATGCCTAGTGTAGTT